CAGTCAACTGAGTGAATTATTTGATGGAAAGAAATGATCAGTAGTTGAACACTGAACCAATACGTGTTTTATTTAACTATTAAAATTTAAACGGGTCAGACAGTGCCTCTAACGTTCCTGACCTTGTGCCAGAATTTGAGTTTCTGCAGAAGACAACCTGATTCTTGAGCAGACTCCTTCCGTACACATGCTCCAGGTTGATCGTGGTCGCACCCGGGGTCTTCTACTAGTCGGTTGGGCAAGTAGTAGTTGCTTGTTCTTTCTTTCTGGAGGTATCCGCAACACGTGCCGAAACCATGGCAGTGTTACTTCCCAATCTGAAGAAGCAGCAGCTGTACAGGAAGGCTCTCACGAATGACGAGACGCGTAACGCCAGTGACTCGTCTAAGAAAGCCCATTTCAGCAGCTTGTACCCGGAATCGATCTTTTCAGTCACGGCCCACGACTCGTGAACATTGGGAATCATGGAGATGAAGATCTGCTTGAACATTGAGAGCTTAATCTTCAGACCCAGTTGTGCATTAGTCAAAACGGTTCGGGTTAAAGCCATTCCCAAAATCTTCAATCACAATTGAACATTACCCCAAGGGGCACGAGCATCTGTGCCTTCTCCCCTGCTTCTCCCTTTATTTGAAGAGAGCAACGGGCATCAGAACGATAAAGTACCAGGATTCTCATTTTAGACCGGTTTACACGCATACCGATCAAGTCGCAATTAGCTGCGAGCCGTTTCAAAGAACGCTGTAGAACAATTTCAGAGGACGGTAACAAAATAAGGTCGTCTGCAAACAGCAACCTTCTCGTCTTGACATCTCCTACGTTGATACATTCACCGGCCTGGCTTAGCCTGACTCATATCCATGTACAACACTGAAAAGTATATAGTTATTATGCTGTACGATTGCTGTGTCATAGAAAGAAGTTCATTCCAATCACAGTTGCCTCATCTTGCTGATCCGTGCTGCATGCCGGCCTCCTGATGAACAGTGGACATGTTGTAGTTACCTGATTAGAAGCTCTAAGACTTTACCATTTAGTCAACTTTCTTTTAGGATTTAGTAGTCAGAATAAGTCTGCAGGGAAAAGAAAAGCTTCTTGCATGGTTCTGCTATTTATCCGGTATTGTATATGACATCCAGCACTCTGCACGCTGTTCAATCTTCTACCCATAGATTATCGCCGAGGTGTGAAAAATGTGAAGTTGAATGAGATAAATTTAAATGAATGCCCCCTGCGCCACGGTCGACCCATAGAGTCATAATTATTAGGCATATTTGTAGCATTACTAGGTGCAATAACGAAAATGTTCCTGCCTTATGATTTCATCACGAATATTGTACTTTTGTACATAATGAGGGTCACAGGTCATATGTGAAAAATTTAATTCTGAAAGAACGCAACGTCGACGCTTGGCTTCGTTTTGATTTTGT